TAAGCAGCCTTAAACACATTAGGGAAACTTTTCATTCATAGATCTCAAGAATTCTTTACAAAAGAGAGCAAAAAAGTATCACTATGCCCATTTTACAGATGGGAAACGGATACACAGAAGTAAAGTGACTTACCCAAGGTCACACAGCAAGTCACTGGCAGAGCTGAGTATAAAACCCAGCTTTCAAGACTCCAAGTCCAATGCCCTATCCTCTGGGCCATGCTGCTTCCCCTACATATAGAGAATGTGGCTTGAGAGATTTCTTTTAAGTGAGAACTTATAGGTCCTGATTCTCTACTGCTCTGTACTTTGGTAGACATTTACATCAGTGCACAGTGAGTGGAAAGTGGGTATAATGCTACCAAACCAAACTGGTCATGTTTTATATCTACTTTGCACAGGTGTAAATGGCCACACATGGACAAGGCAATGGATAGTCAGGCCCACAAAGCTCTCTGGTGTGAAGTGTAATCAATTTTACTTACGTTAGAAAGTAGAGGCAGCTACAGATTATTAATAAATCCACACACGTACTTTTCAGAGGCTCTACCACCAGTCTTTCAGTAACAAACAAGGAATCTAATACAGAAAAGTAACTTGCACCAAAGTGATTTGGAGTAATTTCACAGAAGGTTATTAGGAGTGGTTGAGCTTTTTTAGAACTCAGTTTCCTGAATCTAGTTACACTTTCACTAGAATTTCTTGAAATTCCACTGTTGCAATTAAGTTTGCCATCAAAAAAGTTCTTCGCCTTACATGTGAAGAATTCAGTTTTTTTAACCGTCACAGCTGCAGAGCCAGCTGCACCCTGTCTCTGAGTGCACCCTCTCTGGTGTTCAGACTCATGCCCTTACCTTCTCTGGGAGGGAATCCTGCAATTCTCATGCTTTTTAGAATAGGTCCTGGGGCTCCAGCACCTGATGTACCAACAGTGATTTCTCAAGAAGGTCCAACTGGATTTAGCACCTGCAAGTCAGGTTGCAACCAGGGCCGGCTTTAGCAGGTGCCCCCCCCTGCCCCAACTCCGCCCCGGCCCCGCCCCGACTCCGCCCCCTCCCTGCCCCATTGGATCCATCCCCAAATCCCCGCCCTAGCCCCGCGTCTTCCCCAAGCACGCCGCATTCCTCCTCCTCACCCCTCCCTCCCAGGCTTGCGCTGATCAGCTGTATGGCGGCGCAAGTGCTGGAGGGAGGGGGGAGAAGCAGGACGTGGTCTTTTTTTTTTTTTCATTCTTTTTTTTTTCCCCTCACTCCGCCGGCAGCCCCAGACTTTGTGGGGCCCTCTTAGGAACAGGGCCCCATTCTGGGGAATTGGCCGAATCGGCTTAAAGCTGGCCCTGCTTGCAACCAGTGGTTAATACTGGTGACCAGACAGCTTTCTCATACAAAAGTGCTGTTTAGTCTTAACAGTAGGAACAAAGTATAACATATGTGAAAAAAGATTTCAACACAACAGAAGGCCTATATGCATGTCTCTCTCTCCCTCCTAGAGGCTTGGTATCCCTTGGTGGAAATCCTAGGCTGGTCCCTCTTTACTCTATATCACTGACCTGACCTGTGGTGTATGCCTGCGAGAACCATTTCTCATCAAGAGCTCTCAAAAACCACTTTTCCTCTCCTTCAAGGTGGTCACTTTTATCACTCCAGAAGCATTTTGTCTCAGGTTCCTAGGTTTTTTTGGTTCTCCTGTGTCTACAAACTGGGACCCCTCTTTGACAAACTGGTCCATTGAACTGGACAGGGGGTCGGAGGTAGGACATCAAAACTAATGGGTCTAGTATTGTCCCTCATGTGTGGGTTATCTCAAGCTACTGTCCTCTTTCCTGCATAGGTACAGCCAACCCTTGCTTAAATAAACTGCTTTTATTCATACTGTACCTCCCTTACAAAAGTCAAACAGACAGAACATATAATATTCATAAATTATTACAGATTAGCCCCACATCCTTCTCACTAACACTGAATCCTAAACATGTTGGGATGAGTATCACTGAATATGTTATTTTTCTCTCAGTTTTTTTGTTTGTTTACTGCTATAAAGTTGTATTTCTGAACTTCAGTGATGAAATCAGGGAACAGTGAAATCTTTTCAGCAGGATACCCTACATAAAAGGTGGTTCTAGACAGCTTATCTTTGTCCTTATGAATTAAGGCAATTAAATATTATGGATCTAAGGAAATAACTGTAGGAGATGTAGGGGTCTTTGCAAAAGAATTCGATGAGCTTTTTCTAAAATAGACACTGAAGCTAACACATCAAAGTCAAATAGCACAGACAGCATTTTTTTCAACTTAAGTTGTGACTTCTACCTTTTTTGCTATGACAAAAATTAAATTACACATTTTTACAATAATTATACAAAGTATTTTTATTTTAAAAAATACTTTAAAATGGATTATGCCAGCTCCTCAGCTGGTGTAAACTGGCATAACTCTACAATGGAACTATGACAATTTATACCAGCACAAATCTGACATACTAAATTATTTAAAATAGGAAAATACACAATGCACATAAAGGTGAAATTCTGGCCTCTTTGAAGTCAATGGTAAAACTCCCATTGACTTCAGCATGTGCATGATTTCACCCACACTATTCATGACAATGTAGTTATACATTGCTAATTACATTGTTTATACATCTCCAGTCATCTCTAAACACATCTCTTGTATGACACCTAGCACAATGAGGCCCTGGTCCATGACTAGGGTGCTAGGCACTATGGGAATACAAACAATAAATACTAATAATAACGATAATACATAAATATCAAAGGAAAGGCCTGCAGAAGTACTATTTGCTGGTAGGACTTACTGCAGTAAGCCAGCAATTCATTGGCTACACTTGGTTCATGTTGGGAAGCTTATCTTCATACCATAACGGCTAGAAACAGGGTTTGTTTGTTTTTTTAACTGAATGCTAAAAGATGCTCTGCAGAAGACTATTGAGAAACCATGACTTTTAAAAAATAGTTGCCAAAGACTTGGAATACATGGCAAATCATCACGGCATGACAAATAACTAGTCTTACTAACAAACTAGTCATGTTTCAGAAATACAGCTACACCTTAAAAATAAGTCTGTATACTAACAGAATTTTCTCAGTAATTTTTTAAAAAGTCAAAAGTCACTTTCCTCCCCCGCCCACACACACGCATCACTGGGGCACTCTGAATTTGAACCACACCTTCCTCACTGAGTCATGACCGGTAAAGTTGCTCTTTGGGGTTTTGAGAGAATACAACCCAAACAAATAAAACAAGAAAGGGGCTGAGTGAAAGACTGAGTACAAATATTTGTATACTCTGACTAGGATAAGTAAACGTAGTCCATTATAGAAAATTTCTTTAAATTATGGAAACCTGATGTCACATGTGTATGTACAGGATGCATGTGTACAGGATGCACCCACATTTATTAGTGAGGTGCCTCACTAGTGGTTTCCAAATAAATTTAACCAGTTATTTATCATTTATATATTTTATGAACATGTATGGTGTTTTACAGAGAGAAAAGAGTCATCAGCATGAGGAGCTTACAATCTGCATGCATATCACCATGGTATTTACACTTGAACTTGTGAATACATTTGTTAAAAATCAGAGCAATGCTGTCTTACTGAAGAACTCCTCTTCCACCTTTTGAATAATTTACTAAGTCTGACTAATGCATGTTGAGAAATTCCCTGTTGTTTAGATGAAAGGATGTCTCAAAGTTTAAAAATATAAAGATCATACAGGCCTAAAAACCAATCTTTTAAAAACTGCTGAATGGAGCTTTTAGTACTGGGACAACTCTAAATGATGTTTGAAAATTCTCATGCCAAAGGATTATGGAGAGACAGGGCCGGCTCCAGGCACCAGCTTAACAAGCAGGTGCTTGGGGCGGTCAAGGGAGAGGGGTGGCACCTGCGGCAATTCAGGGGCGGCAGGTCCCACACTCTCTCTAGGAGCGAAGGACCTGCCTCCGCTGATCGCAGCTTTTTTTTTTTTTTTTTTGCTTGGGGCGGCAGAAATGCTGGAGCTGGCCCTGTGGAGATATTAACCCTTAAATCTAAATCCCCTTCCCACATTTAAAAAAAATAGAAGCTACCACAGTGGTACTTCAGTGTATAACATCTTGAGCCCTTGGTTCCAGTGAATGTGTGGCCTTAACTGAAGTAACTTTGGCAGTCCCAATTCAGTCCCTAGAGAACGCAGTCCACACTATAAAACTAGGATTTCGTAATTTAATACAACTGAAATTCTGTATTGCAGAGACACCCCGACAACTCAGTTAGCATGGGGTCTGATTCACCTCCAGCTCCTGGGAAGGGGTCAAGATGAAGGTCACTGGGGCAGTATGAGCAGACTCATAACAGTTTGCTTGCATGAAAACTGACTGGATATGTAAGGGACTCCAATGTTAAAACTAGTCTTTGGTAATCATTCTTGAAATCTAAATGGCTATTACAAAATAAATTGCAATATTCTGGGTTTTCAGTTATGAATCCAGATTGGCTGGAAAAAGGCAAAGGAAGTCATAACCTTTTTGTATGCAAGTCACTGCCTTCAACAATGGGTTCCTCATGTTTCAGCCACAAACTCCATCATTTATTCCTCATCTGAGTTTGCCTTAAAATATACATGTACAAGTGTGCACCAACAATTAGTAGGAAGGTGCCTTACCATCTGTATACAAATGCATTTACCCAATTAATTATCATGGTTTACTAGTTATATAGTGGTCCCCAAAATGACATCAGGGGGAAAATCTCAAAGCAATGACAATTTCCAAACTCAAGAAGCAAGGGGAAAAATAGCATTGTGGTCTGTTGAATTTGTTTTGTGTTTTCATATAATGGGAACAACAGTCACAGCATTAGAGATTAGTTGCATTAAATAATTTTTGAGGTTATCAAATCTTTCAGCTTTGTTTCAGCTTTTAAAATTGCCACAAAAGCTGTTTACTGCTTTGCCATAAACAATATCAGTTAAACAAATTGATATAAAATTACTGACCATGTGCTTGGAAAAGCTTCTAAAGTATAAACTTCTCCCAAGAGCCATGCAATTCTGTAAAGAGGCCACCATTATTCCCTAGAAATCAAGACCGCTGATTATATAATAAGCATTAATGGAAATGAATGTTCATTCAAAATTTAATAACTACTTTGTTTTCTTCTGTAAGAGGAACATTTTCATAATATTCCTTTATTCTGTCTGAAGCTTAGCTTTATATCCACAAACGATACTAGCAGCTATTGCCTAATTTGTTCTTTCACTTGAACCAAGGCATTCATCCAGCTTTAAATATTGTCCATTTCTAGTCAAATGTCTGTTCATTTATTGCAATTTTTTAAAGTCTTTGAACAAAAGCAACTAAGGTAACACCTGCCAAGAGCGACCACTCATGAGAGTTAGCAAAAGTGGATGTTTGTAAGAGGTGGTCTCTCTTCAAAATTAATTAATTAATTAATTGGCAAACTGGATACCATCAGATTAGGCCTGAATAAAGACTGGGAGTGGTTGGGTCATTACAAAACCTAAACTTACTTTCCCCAATACTAATTTCTCCCTTCTGTTACTCACACCTTCTTGTCAACTGTCTGTAATAGGCCACTCTCTTGCCACTTCAAAAGTTATTTTTCCTCCCTTGGTATTCCGCTGTTAAGTGATTTATCTCATTAGACTGACCTCACACTTGGTAAAGCAACCCCCTCCTTTCATGTATTTATACCTGCTCCTCCATGCATCTGATGAAGTGGGTTCTAGCCCACGAAAGCTTATGCCCAAATAAATTTGTTAGTCTCTAAGGTGCCACAAGGACTCCTCGTTGTTTTTGCTGATAGAGACTAACACAGCTACCACTCTGAAACCTGTCTTCAAAAGGGTATTGCCATCTTTACTTCTACACTGGTGGCATCGCTGCCTTCAGAGCTGGGTGCCCAACCAGACAATGCCACTCTCTGCTCTGCCTTCAGAGCTGGGTGCCCAACCAGACAATGCCACTCTCTGCTCTGCCTTCAGAGCTGGGTGGCTGAAGAGTGGTGGCTGCTGGCCGGGTGCCCACCACTGAAGGTATAAGAAAATGTTGTCAGTGATGACAGCTCTCTCTTCACAGTTAAATTATAGGGAAAAGGGTTCTATGGACTCTGCAAGTAGTCACTCATGACAGGTGGTGTCTCTTCAGGGGTGGTCGCTAAGGCAGGTTTTACTGTATCCATAATTGTTCCAAAATACTAAAAAAAAACCAAATACCCAGATCCAAACCATTTAGAATTAGATGGGTACAGAAGAGGAAGAAGGCCCAAGTAGTCTTCCCATGACTTTGTGTACCTCTATAATCATGACTGCACTACAGGTTTGGGGAAGTGCTAGCTACAATGGTAACACAGTTGTAGAAATGTGCTCTCCCAGCAGCCAGGAGGCAATATACTTCAACAAAAATCATCCTGCCTCCAAGAATCCCTGCTTGGCTGATGCATCTTCTGCCCCTCACTAATGCAGCTCAGCCTCATAAGAGGCATAACTATAAATTGTACCCCCTCATCCCCGTTCCTCTCCATTTTCACCTGCACTGGGGACCCCTGAATCAATTCTGATTCTGGTTTCTACAATGGTTCTGATTTTACACTTCATAAAGCTATTCAATTACTTTACTGTCAAATTAAATGTATCAATGCTAGTAAATCTGTATTTGTGCTAATACACAGCAGATTCTGACTCCTTATTAAAAGTGTAACTTGTAGGTGTTTCCTCCTTCCTCTCCTCGCATTGCAATGCAAGGGACCTGATCCTGCAAACACTTACTACCAGATGTAGCACTTACTTCAGTGCAGCCACTTATAATAGCTAGCAAGACACCCAGATAGGAAGCATTTCCAGAATCAAGTTGTAAACAAGCATTAAAAGATTAAGCATAAAAAAAAGAGTACATTTGAACTTTGGGAATGATCATAATTCAAAAACTGAATGACTAATAATTACAAAGTACCTTTGTTTCTCTTAATACAATAACGGAGTAGCAGTAACTGAAAACAAATACTGCTATTTTCTGTTTTTGTCATCAAGTCCCTCATCCACATATGGTCCTGGCCAATTCAAACTAAAACACACTTACTTTCCTCTAAAATTGAAGGAGATAAAGATTAGAGAGTCTGAACAACTCATTTAAACTGTAAGGCTTACAAATTCTTGTGCCTCCAAGAGCAAGTTAAAAATCACATGAGGTCCTCTTTCTTTTCTGTAAAGATGTTGAGCTTAATATCCTGGCTCTACAGAAGAGTACGTGCCCATTGGATGCAGTATCAGGTTTATAGCTAAGAAAGTTATCCAAGTCTGATTTGCCTGCAATGTCAACAGAACAGGTATAATTTAGATTTCAGTTAAGACTCCAAAGATCTAAAAGCTATTTGACATTACAAACCTGTTTTAAAATAATAAGTTCCGTATCAAAGAAATTATGAACATTAATGTCACACTAGGCAACAGCAAGGCATCAGTTAACAAAATTAAAAACAAATTGATAGCACATGTCCTGCTGTTAAGCTTCCTTTATCTGTAAATGGATTAAATAGCTTAGTGACAAGTATATACAATTTTTCTTGTGGAGCAAAACTTTAAACTCTAATATATGTTTTGAAGAAAAAAAAAGAGAGGCTTCTTAGCAGGTCACCTTCCATTACTAATAGGGCTGTCAAACGATTAAAAGAATTGCAATTAATCAGGAGATTTAAAAAAGTCATGATTAATCACAATTTTAATCGCACTGTTAAACAATAATACAATAAATTTAAATTGGTATTCTAAGTATTTTTTGATGTTTTCTAATTTTCAAATACAACACAGAATACAAAGTGTGCAGTGCTCAGTTTATATTATTTTTACTACAAATATTTGCACTGTAAAAAAAAACAAAAGAAATCATATTTTTCAATTCACCTCATACAAGTCCATTCAGTCCTACTTCTTGTTCAGCCAATCACTATGAAAAACAAATGTGTTTCCAATTACAGGAGATAATGCTGCCCGCTTCTTATTTACAATGGCATCTGAAAGTAAGGACAAGCGTTCGCATGGCACTGTTGTAGCCAGCATTCAAGGTATTTATGTGCCAGATATGATAAGCATTCATATGTCCCTTCATGCTTCAACGTGTAGGCTCTAAAGTTTTACATAGCTGCACTCAAAAACAAAACTATGTTAAAAAAAAAATCTAAATTTGTAACTTACACTTTCACAATAAAGAGATTGCACTACAGTACTTGTATGAGGTGAACTGAAAAATACTATTTCTTTTATTTATCTTTTTACAGTGCAAATATTTGAAATAAAAAATATAAAGTGATCACTGTACACTTTGTATTCTGTGTTGCAATTGAAATCCATATATTTGAAAAATGTAGAAAATATCCAAAAATATTTATAATAAATTTAAATTGGCATTCTATTATTGTTTAACAATGCCATTAAAACTGGGACTAATCACAACTATTTTTTAAAACTAGTTCATTTGTTTTGCGTTAATTGCATGCATTAACCATGATTAATTGATAGCCCTAATTATTACCTTTCTAGAATTTGGTTTAAAAATGATCTAAGCCTCTTGCTGTCAGTGCAGAATTTTGTACTGGTCCAAATTTGTGAAAAATCCATGAAGTAAATGAGAAGAACCCAAATCGCATTTGTAACTGGCATAATGAGTAGTTTCTGAAATGACATCCTGCCTTCAAATGATACTAAACCTTGAGGTCTCTGATGATACAGGAGTATGAGGAAGTCTCTGAAATAAGAGAGCTATAAGAGAACGTAACTAATTGGCACTGACAAAGGGCTGGTCTCCACTACTGGAGAGATCAATGCTGCTGCAATCGATGCAGCGGATCTAGTGAAGTCCCGCTAAATTGATGGCAGAGAGCTCTCCGGTCAACCCCGGTACTCCAGCTCTCCGAGAAGAGTAAGGGTAGTCGACTGGAGAGCATGTCCCATCGACTCAGCGCCGTGAAGACACCAGGGTAACTCGACCTAAGCTATGTTGCCTCCAGCTACATTATTCACATAGCTAGAGTAGCGTAACTTAGGTCGACTCACCCCCATAGTGAAGACAAGCCCAAAGAGACCCCAGGAGCAATGTTTGTCACAAGTCAGTGCAGAGATGTGACTATTGCTCATCAGGGAACCCAATGTTATCAGCAATGGGGGAACACCACATCCCTCCCTGACAATGCCCCTCACCAACATCCTAGAATCAGGCTATTTACATTGTTGCTGTTGCTCACAGCTCTACAAGACTCCTGATTATAAGGTTGGATGGATTTAGGTCATCACTGCTGTTACAACACTTGTGCTGAAGCCAACAGTAGGAGTGAAGAAGGATCCATTGGATTTATGAGAGGAGTCTTCAGGAGCAACTCTTAATAATTTTGCAATTTCTGTGCATCCTCAGTTAGAATCAATACAGCCATCAGGAGAAAGAAGAGATGTTGATATCTCTGCCTTGCGCGGAGCAGAAAACAACAGCCCTAAGCTCCACTCCTTTCATAGTGAAATGCTGAGGAGCTATATACACCTCGTGCGATGTTTCAATCAATTCCTATCAGAAGAATATGACCAATCTATTTAGGTTTTTGCAGATTCTGAGCTGAAATGGGAGACTCCGTAGCTAAAGGTATTGTGCTGACAGTTACCTCCTGAAGTTCCCACCACACTTTTTCAAAGCGTTACAGACTGCATGTGCTTTCTTCAGCCAACGGGTCCCCTAAGTCATGTTCCTCAGCCACTTGCGCTATGGGCTAGACTCCCTTGTTTTTCATTTTAGCGTATTGTTACACTGGGAGTTGGAGAAATGTCCTTGAAGCCAGTGGGTGTAACATGTCCTTAATGGAATTAGATAGCTGCAACAATAGGAGCCATCACATGAAACACAGGCCCCATGCAAGGCTGATCTGGAATCGGTGCAATGAGGGTGGAGGAGTTTCACTGTGGGCCAAATTCAAACACAGGGAGGCTGTGGAGAGGTACAGTGGATGGGAGGAGGAGCAGCAGAAAACCAAAGAGAAAACTAAAACAAAGCACTGGCAGCATGGCCTTAAGAAAAG